TGGGTATTGGACCAGCCTGTTCTGCACCTCTGCTCCTCCTACCAGTGTCAATGTGCTTTCTTCTTTACTTCTCTAGTTGTAGGACTTCCATTCAGCCAGCTTTCAGATGGTTCTGAATGATGGTTGTTCAGTATTTTAATTCTAATTTTGATGTGGTTGTGGGAGGCAGTGAGTACAGGTATTTACCTATGCTGCCATCTTGGTTCCAATCCCAATCAATTCTTTTTTTACATTTAAAACAAAATTACTCAGCTCTGCATATTGCATTAAAGGTATTCAAGCCATTTAAAATTAAATTTCTATTCATTTTCCATGGGCACCATTAGAGAATTAACATTTGTTCACATGATTATTTTCAATAAATTGCTGCTTATTCCTATTTCATTTATATACCATGCAATAATGAGATATCCAAAGACCATTGATGTTTAGTTTGTTATTTTCTCATGATGACCTATCTTTCATGGCAAACTTGTGACAATTTTCCTTGATGACAAATTACAAAACAGCATCTCATTGGAAATGTATGAAAAATAATTCCACCTACACATTTCCACACATACCCTTCAAATATTTATGAACTCTTCTCTCAGAATTCATAACATTGTGGGCAAAAGAAAAATAATCAACTCAATTATTGTTTCTCACACTATACATTTCAGTTTATGGAGAAAATAGGCAAAGTAGAAAATAAAAAGAAGTGTCAGTCTTTAGGGGTCAATGTTAACATTTGTACAAGCATTGGGGAACAAATGCATAAATCCCACACTCCCTTGAAAAATCACAAACTCTGCTTTCCTATTAAGCCTAATCTACTAACATTAACACTTAGAATGAGGTTAGGTCAGTGGTCGGCAAACTCTTTAGTCAACAGAGCCAAATATCAACAGTACAATGATTGAAATTTCTTTTGAGAGCCAAATTTTTTAAACTTAAACGATATAGGTAGGTACATTGTTATTAACTTAATTAGGGTGCTCCTCAGGCTTACGAAGAGCCACACTCAAGGGGCCAAAGAGCCGCACGTAGCTCGGGAACCGCAGTTTGCCGACCACGGGGTTAGGTGATACAGTACAGCTATCAGCAAAGTGTGGTTCTACTCTCAAATAGAATTCACAAATATGCCATTTCAACTCAGCGTTTACTCTAGTTAGACCATCCACTGTGACCACTGAAAGGCAACATTCATTTCTAACAGAAGGGATTTTTCCATGAGAAGCATTTCCCAAACCGGTACATAGTCTTAAAAGGTCAAAGAAGATTCTAAAAGACCCATAATTCACAACTTAGTTCAAACTATTCGCTGAGCACTTACTCCATGCCAGGTACTATGGGGCTAAAGGTAGAGATGAGTTTCCAGTCAAATGAGAGAGCCCTGGAAGCACACAAAAAATTACAATTCTATATACTGAAGGCTATGATTGAGGTATAATAAAACTATGAAAGAGGCATAAAGGGAGGGCCATCCATTCCAGATGGAGAGCCAATAAAGATCAATGGAAAATTCTTGAAGAAGTGATGTTGAAGCTGAGTCTTGGAGAAGAGGGAGGGTGTACTTCCCCCAGAGAACTCAGGCCACATAACATACTATATGTTTGGGACATTGCATTAAAGGCTGGCCCATATAAAATTTGAAAATTTTGAAATAATGACAATTTGATTTGGTTCAGCCTAAGCATTGCATATGGTCAGGATTCCATGAGCAGTTTCGCAGTGTTGGGATGCAGTGAGATAAGGGAGGGTAAGAGAGGAAGCTGAAGAAGAAGGCAAAGTTCAGATCAACATCTCGTGCACGAATTGAAGTGGAAACAGACACAGCTTGGGATTTTAACCCAGGACTAGAATATCATACAGACTAGCAGAATTGCTTAAGTATTCAAAAATATTATTTTATAAACTTTAAAACATCAGAAGAGAAAGCAAAAACATTACAAAAGACATTTTATTCATAATTCTATTTCCTTAAAATTAATAACAATTTCAAACCTTTCTACTTCCTTCCATTTTTATGACACAGTTTTTTTTAAAATTAAATCTTTATTGTTCAGATTATTACAGTTGTTCCTCTTTTTTCCCCCCATAGCTCCCCTCCACCCGATTCCCACCCCACCCTCTGCTCTTACCTCTATTTCCTTAAAATTAATAACAATTTCAAACCTTTCTACTTCCTTCCATTTTTATGACACAGTTTTTTTTTAAATTAAATCTTTATTGTTCAGATTATTACATTTGTTCCTCTTTTTTCCCCCCATAACTCCCCTCCTCCGGTTCCT